CTTTCGGGGGCGAGTCGGAAACGATTCGATCGACGATGGAGATCGAGTTATCGTGCTGCTGAAGGGAATTAGGTTTCGAGACGTCGGGCATTGTTACACCGTCAAACAGGTGTAAGAACGCAAGTTTCGTAATCAATGGCAGCCCAAAGTATTATTCGGTTGAGATTTAATTCGTTAAACGGTTTCGTAGTTTAGAAATAATTGACGGTCTAGTGCAAGAGAGAGCTGTGCCACAACAGTAGTGTTGTAAGATCTTAGGGCTTTTATGAAAAGTAGTGTACATCATAGTATACTACAATTGTATATGTATATTTATACAATCGTAGTACAGGTTATGAATTTTGCCACGCAGTTACAAAGTAAGGGATAATCGTTATGTACCAAGAGGTGCCAGAATGAATACAAATCTTATTTTTGAACATTTTTTGGCATAGCTGTTCCTTGCACTGGGCCCCTGAATTAATGAGAGTGTAAAATTCCATAAAAATTTGAGATAAAACTCCAAATCTTGAACTTTTCACACGTACTGTACGATCCACGGTAAGAGTATCTACGAAGATCTCAGAATATTTGCACAACAACCGAAACGTTATACTTTCCAGACAAAAAGGACCTAATTAAGCAGGAGGCTGCTGCCACGAAATTTCGTTTACGCCTCGGAAGCGTCGTCGCGGGGAGCACGCAGAGACCAAACTTTCTTCGTCGACCCACTTAACGATTTTACGTCGGACGAGTTGACGGGGAACCGGGCCGAACAGAGAACGGGGTGCTCTCGAGCTGACCGATTCGTTCGCTTCGCAATACATCAAGCAAAGTTCCACCCCGCGATTTTCCGCGTCTGCGAACTGAAAAATCCTCGCGGGGTGAACCGACGGGGAAATCGTTCTGCGCGGAAGGTTCCACGTGGAGGTCGTTTTTCACCGGAAAACCGTCAGCCTCGCGACCGCATAAGCTCGATATTGTCCTGGAAGTATCGACGAGAAAAACGTGAAAGACAGCCCTCGTTCGAGGGCAAGGTGACTGTCAGGGGCTTCAAAAGGTAAGATAAATTAACCCCTGGACGATCGAACACGCTTATCTATCGTTGAACCGCGGATTGCGCGCGTTTGCATCACACCTGATTGTCTGAGATTCAATACCAAGAACGTTTCATACAATTTAATTAAAGCTTCCCATTTTATTTTGACACGTAAAAATCTACATTTGTGCTCAAATTCGCAGTCCATTTATCATTCTCTGGGCTCCACTTTCGTAATCTTTCTATTCCAATCGGCAACCAAAGTCTTCAACTGTACACGATAAAAATTCTAACCCTAAAACTAGCATTAAATGTCTACTAAATTAAATTCTATAATATGATAATGGAAATAATATATACTACAATTTTGCATAGTATAGTACGATATAAAATGTACAGTAAATTCAAAGTCATCGTAAGTTCCACCAAAAACACTGTCAATAATGGTGAAATAATAAATCTGAAACCCTTCATTTCGACGGGTTTTGTAGTTCTAGTGTTAATATAAAATCCATCGACAAGTAATCCGTCGTTTCTTTCACTGAACTAGTGACATGTTTCAATTCGAAAAACACCTATGAACGTTTTCCCGTTTAAAAATCGCGAATGACATCGGAGAACGAGGTCGAGTATTATTGAAACATCGCCAGCTTTCCGGTTTCCGTAAAAGCAAATATTGGTCTTGACAGAAGATAGCGGATTATTGGTACACCGAGAGTAATTTCCTGAATCTGCCCGGTAATCGTTCCTTACTCCATTCCACCAGCGACACTCGGTTGAACAAACGGTTCAAGCTCACGTGGAAATCTGCTCGTGGATTTACGAAGTCGGTGTACAAACCGGAGGCAACGAATCTTCGTCGAAATATACAGAACGTTTCCAACAATTTTCGAAGACCCGTTTCAGTCACGTGCATATGACTCTCCGAGTGCCGATAAAACTCGCGACGGCCGACGAGGAGCACCCCTCTGGCCGCCATTCATCGACGGAACGGCTCGAAAAAACTAAAACAAATAGGAAGAGGAACCGATATTTTGCGCGAACGGTAAATACAATTTTTTGTTTTTACGAGTGTGCACCAGCGCCCGGCGCAGTAAGTTTCGCAGCTTTTATTTTTTTCCCCGTTCCCCTCGGCCCGACTCAAGGCAATCCTGCGAGCGTTTAATGTGGGAATAAAACGGTGTTTACGAGGGAAAGCGCGATTCGAAGATTGCAGCCTGTGCCCGGAATTGTGGCGCGTTTGTGGGCGGAAATTTTATTCCTTTTTAGTCTGCTTCGCGAGTCAGACTTGGAAGAATTCGAAAGGGGGGTGTTGATCAAGAGAGGGTGTGCTCGTGGGAGAATTTATAGAAATTTGTCGTAATGATATCATCGCGACTGAAACATTTAGGATTTTTCAGTCTACATCTGTTTTGTGAGACCAAACGGTGGGTATAGTTGTACAATACAAAATATTCTAATGTACGCCAAATTTGTAATAGAAAGCATAATTGAACATGAAACTTTTGAGTTGGATTCATTCAAACGGTGCATAAGGGTTAAGGGCTGTGTACGTTTGCAGACATATTTTTCCAATATGAATCAAAAGAATCCAGAAATTGCTGCTAGTTATTATATTCAGGGTGCGTTCGCTAAAAAAATCGCTACTTGAATGCAAGTAGTGCAAAATACAACAAAGGATCAAACTATTTGTACAGTACGATCACGGAAACAAAGAGTCCCATGTCTTCAATATTATTAATTATATTGAAACATGTATATAACATAATCATTAACAACAACAAATTCCCAGGAACAGAAATTAATTACACTATCATCGTCTGGGTATAATACGCAAACTGTACAAACACTTTAGTCCCCAGCTGTAGAAGTTCTAGAGGGTGAGTTTCGAGGATCATCGATGAATTCTTACCAAATTGCAAAGAGACTACTCCTGTCACGATTCAATTATCATTCCCCTTGTAATTTCACCCTTAACTCCACGCGCGTGACCCAAGCGCCTCCAACGAGCCGGACGTCGCGATAAGAAGCTCGAATGCAGGGGTTGGTTCCGAATGGAGGAATTCTTACCCAAGTATAGCGAGGTCCGCCTAGGTTTGCGAGTCACGGGGCACTGAGCTTACAAGACACATCCAGGCCAGAGAGGCGCTTGCAAGCTCGCGGCTCCCAAGCTCGACTTCAACGTCCAACCCCCTACCAACGAACGCCCACTCCCCCCACGACCGACAGACAATATTTCCCGCGTTCCTGATTTCTATCCACCCGCCAATTAACGACGAGGACGATACCTTTCGACGTGATCGAGGACATACGGTTCCACGCGATCGTGAAAGTTGATCGGACCAGATCTTTGGGGATGGAGATGTCTAATTAATGGCTGAGAACGTTTAACTATTCTTGGGGTTGTTACATCTCCCTTGGAAATCCTATTAACGGCTGATTTCGGTGGAATGGTCAATTGATGGCTGAGAACGTTTGACGATTCTTTAGGTCGTTACACTTCCTTTGGAAACCCAATTAATGGCTGATTCCAATGAAATTGTCAATTAATGGCTGATTCCAATGGAATGGTCAATTAATGACTGAGAATGTTTGACGATTCTTTGGGTTATCACACTTTCTTTGGATCATTGCTGAAAACTTCCAGTGAGCTGCAAGATTTACAGGCACTTTCACTTTGTTTATGAGTTAGTATACTTCCCTGCTAATTTACAAGTCTACTAAAGGGATAATAGCATTTGTGTCTTATATGGTAGGGTGCTGAAAAGGTCAACGTCGGTTACATAAAGGTTCTATCGCGGGTCAGGGAATATCATGATACTCGAACAGATTCGATTAAGGGATTAGTAAAAACTTGCGCTTATAATCTTTCGGTTCTTACAGTGACGTGTGTATTCTATAACCTGAATTCAATTGATTCTCCTTTCATGGCCATCGAAGTACTCAGCAAGCCAACAATGAAAGACGATTCTAATTGTAGTCTCGAAGAAGTATCTGTGATTCGTACCAAATACCAAATAAAAGTGATCAGATCTTGTCGGCAATTTCGTTCGTTCCAAGTGGGAAAGAAAAAAAGTGGGAACAAGGGAGAACGATAAACTTCTCGTCGCTTTGACGCCAGACCAGGGGTTTCGCGAAGCCCCCAGAGGGTAGGCCATGCCGGAATGCGAGTAAAACTCGGCACCACGGACGGATTACAAGGGAATGATCCCGTTTCGGAACCGCGGCAGGGGAAATCGAGTGCCACGAAATCGAGGCGATCGACAGCACGAACGGGACGAACTTGAAAACACGGCTTGTCGAAAACGATTGGTAAAATTGGCCCCGACAGTACGGACCTTGACCGAGAGCCGGTAATGGTGTCTTTATAGGCGCGATCGGTGTGTACGCGCACGTCGATGCACCTGTACGTGAAAGACGAATGTTAAGTTTCCCACAGTTATCAATCCAGACGCGTTATCAGCCGGCTACCAATGCTTTTCATCTATGTTGACCTGGGATCGAAGGAAATTTACGTGTCTGCCTCGCGGGGCTTCAATCGTGCACACGATTTCGGAGGACTCCAGCGAGACCCGCTAAAATATTTCTATTACATGGTACAGGACGATTCAAACGTGGTATATGCAGGAGTAATAGAAAAGTCTATGTAACACATTCATTGCCACAGTGGAAAATGTCGTACGTAGTCAGACATACGTTTATTTCGTTTTTTAAGTCATAAATCGTGGAAAATATATACGTTTAGTTAATAGAGGCTGTGGGTCTTGTTTTAAATTATACTGCGATATTAATTTCACGAAAAAATTTTGTAGCAGTATCTAAAGAATCCTCTGTGCAATGTACGTGTCGCCCATATTTGGGTGAGGTGGTAGTAAAAATGTTAAACATAAATTTCCACGTTTCCAGACTATGAGATACAATCGCTTTAAATTATTGTCAATAATATAATAATAAGTAAATTGATGTTATTTCCAGTAATTACCTGACCGAAACGCGTTGACTCTTCTCGTCCCTAGCGTTCGCCTCGATCCTGGTGAACAGTTCCTGGCAAAGCCTCGGCGTCAGGCCGGGATCCTCCTGTACAAAAACCGAGGACAAGAACGTTCGAGCATCGTTAACCATTTTCCATTTCCAGACGAACGCGGCAAAAAAGAATAGAGAAAAATACATAGGTATCGAATAAAATTACGTATCGTTAACAATCGTCGATCGGAATGTCCCGGGGCGACTCTTCCTCCATAATTGAAACCCGGTCGAACGTGCCGGACGTATGACCGGGCCACGTGACGCGCTTTTAAAAATCCCGCGCTTCCCCTCTAACCTGCGCCCCTCTCCTCCCCTGCGATCGACTGCCCCGTTGGCCACGGAGCAATTTAATTAAGCGGCCACGCCGCGAAAACAGTTTCAATTTACCGGAGGAAATTTTCGAAAAAAAGGAAACCACGCCGCAGGACCAATTAGAGGACGCGCGCGCCAATGAGTTTTTGCGGGCTGCTGGGTCACTTGTGCCGGGTAATCAACGTGAACCGTTATGTTGCCTTTTAATTGCGTACCACCATAGTCTTTGTCTCCGAACTATTCCATAGATGGTAATTGATAGGAGTGAATATATCGATACACGCGAGGTGTTTCAATCGTGGGGTAGTTGGTGAATGAAGACTATTGTAATAAGCAGGGTTGCCAAAAAATTCCCCAACGTAGGGATACGATGACGAGTGAAAATGCAATATAAATGGTTAAGGTAGTAATGTAGTTAAAGAACTTGCAAACAAAGTTCATTTCACAGACACGAGGCTGAAGTAAATAGAATTATTATTCGGCCATGTCTTCCCTACTTCTGGCAATGCTGGTAATAAGAGCAAATATATTTACCTTGGTGCCCATCATCGTATAGGTTTTCCCGGAAGCGCTCTGACCGTAAGCGACCAGACACGCATTGTAGCCGGAGAAGACGGCATCCAGGACAGACTGGCCGAGGGTCTCGTAAATCCTAGCCTGGTCCGCGAAATCCTCGGCGTCTGGATGGGAAGAGTCGAAGCAATAGTCGAAATCATATCGCCGTGTTCTCTCGCGACTGTCCCCAGCCTTGCTCGACGACACCTTTAGGTTCGTCAATGAGATCCCGTTGGAATCGGTATGGACGACCACCTCTGATCCGGTTAGATTCACCTCCCTAAATCAAACAGAACTGTCCACATTTTCCTCGCGAAAACTACACCTGTAATAAACATGTTAACAACCTGTTCATTTACCAGAACGTCCAGTTAGGTATGATAATTAGAACGTTTCACGTTACCATTTACACAGACTCATCAAAGTCTGTTTTTCACCCCTTTTGCCTGACAAATCCCTATTTAATAGTTAGATTAGATAAACTATTTTGTGATAGGACCTTGGTCCCTGCTATCTCCCCTGTTGTTTCCAGGCGAGTAGTCATCTTAAGTCTCCTGAATTCTGAAGGAACGATACTGCGTGCACGACATCGTTCGATCCCGTAGTACGTCGAGCAATTTCATAAACGACCACCGGATTCCTTTCGATCAAAGATTTCATCGTCGACGAAAACGTTACACGGCTCACTTACTTAGCGGTGCCGTTCGATGTCTCCAGAGAGCAGCAATCCCTTGGATTGGTTCGCCTTCGCGTAACAACGATCCTCTCCCCATCGAACCGCGAATGGTTTTTCGATCCCGTGTCCCATTCGGACCGCTCCGGCAGATGGAATTGCTAATTCGCGACGAGAGCTCACCGGCAAAGGAAGTCGATAACACCGAGTTAACTGTCGCGATGTTAGCAGAGGTGGTGCCTCGAAGCCAGTGGTATCCGAGGCAGGAAGTTCGGTGTCCGTTGGATTATTAGATCCCATCCCCTACGGAGGATCTATCGGTAAAACGTGTCGAAAATCGGTCGATTCGGGATCGGTTCTCGCGAAATTCGAGGGAATCCCACCGAGATTCCGTTCGGCGTATCACGGTCGAACGGATTTTCGGGTCGCCTTCCGCCGTGCGGCACAACATTTGGCGTGACGAGACACACCGGGAACGCGGTTACGTGGCCCACGTTAAGCTGCGTCTACACTGAATTGAAAACCAGTGTTATATAATAATATGCTTTATAAGCTTGTTATACAACGTGTTTCTGTAACTTGTTAAAATATTATACATTTTAAACGAGTATGTAACGAGTTTCTATAATATTTCGCATCTCGTTATTAAATACAACGTTAATTGCTGTTGATGTAATTCTAGCTTTTTCAGTGCTTCCGTTGAAAGTATCCAATTTCCGCTCGTATCTTTTCTCGCATCGTATTTCTTATTTCTATTTTTGTAGTACGTAGGCTCCCACAAAACGTGTTTCTTCCATTCGTAATTGTAAATGAACTAGTAAAGTAGTGTTTTCCAGTCAAGGGTTAAGGATGAATTATTTTATAACCGCATCATACTGGTTTACATCGACTGGCAGCATGTTGTATTTTTGTTTCTGTTTTTCTAAAAAGATTGTATAGCTTTGCTCTAAGACGTGTTACGGTAACAATGGAGACGCAGCTTTAGCCTACGTGTGACACACACATAAGGGCACATACAGAGTCGACGATCTCGGTGCTTGAACCCCCGGTCCTCGCGTGATTCTATCGCCCCGATTCGGTCTAATCGGGACGATTGCGTGCCGCGTATCGCGTTTTTGCGAAATTAACACCTCACCGACGCCGAATACCGGACACGCCGATCGTTCTGGGTCAACGAAGCTGATGAACTTCGTCCCCCGCTTCCGTCGAGACCCGATCGTTTCCGGAGTCGTTCACGGGTACCATCGATCGCGTAGAATTCGAAACGTTCCGAAGTCCCGATACGACCCACCTTGGTCCGGTTCCCGCTGACGAATCTCTATCGGGACGATCCCCCGTCGACGTGGAAATTAACGACGGTGTCCCTTATAAGGTTCGTTTATCCGTAGAAAATTGATTTCACTCGGACGATCGTGTATCTGGCTCGACGAACATCAGGGAATAGCCACGATTAACCCATCGATCCTTCATGTCTTCTATCTTCATCGACGATCCACTGTCGCGAAGATATACGTGTAAAGGTGTACTTCGTATCGGAACATCGACTATGCTATGACAGGAAAATTTAAACTATTAGACCCTTGCCATTGGGGTGTGAATCCACAGCAATTTGGCCCCAATCGATATTCATGAGATACGATAGCTGTGTTCAGACTGAGACCTCGTTCTATGCGTATCGATCATCGATTCAGAAATCCAGACGGATCCTCGTTCGACGGTCGCGAGAGAAAAACACCGCGACGAAGTTCTGAATGAAGAAGCAGACGAGCTACGTTATTCATTCCAGCTTCGCGAAACATCGGCGAACAGAACGGAGAACGGCTATACCAAGAAAACACCGAGAGACCGCCGCGTAGGTCTCTGAATGAATCGGGTTCCGACGTATACGTGAATAGCCAACCGGCTGGGACGTTATTATCATCACGGCCCCTCGTGGCGCCGCCCGCGGGGCCTCCAGTCGAATGTTATTCTCGAACGGATGCTCCTGCTATTCCTGTTGGAGTCGTTAAACTGTCGAGTCGTGTGTCATCGGCGTTGTCGTGCTATTCCCAAGTCGGCGAACGGCCACACTCCGTCCCGTGGATCATCGTGGCCACCGGACCGCCGCGAGATCCTTTGTCGACCCGCGGGTGCATCCCCCAGATCGTCGACGGACCACGCGAGAGTTCCAGTCGCGTTAAATATACTCGCCGAACCCCCTTCCGTCGACTATATGGCGTGTCTTCCCCGCCACGTCGTCACACGAGGCTGTTTCATGAGATTTTATCGAGTCCTCTGCCCTCGATGGTTTGTTTGTTCTTCGGCCTATGTTCTACCGAGGGCGGTTCAGAAAACTAAAGTGTCATTTTTTCGGAATGGAACTCTTCTGGAATACTGTTGATGGATTCGAGCAGGAACCGATCTGGATGATTATTTTGTTATCGTTTGTTGGAGATATTGATCACCACTATTGGAGTTGGGTTCAACACAAGCTACTAGATTTGGGGATGTAGAACCCCTGATGGATTGGTTTTGTTGTTTGTCTTGTTGCCTATGGTTGGTGAATAATATACAGGGTGAACCACGAATCGTGATCAGTAGAGATTACTCTGTTATTAGCAGTCCGATCGAAAATGTTTTATAAGTCACTCTTTCGGTAAAAATAACTTACGCCGTGTAAATACACTTTCATCGTTTATTTTATACGCAACCAGTTTCACATTTATGTATCCTATACATATGAATCATTTTTTATTTGTTAATAGCATATATTATCTTTTACAGTCCATTTTCTAAACAATTATCTCTGTTAATTTACTTTGTGACTTACACTGATGGCTTCCGAGCCCTCCATATATAGTACGGTTTACATTTCCAGGATCAACAGTTTCATCCGAAAGTGATCGCTGAAAACACTTCATCCCCAATCGACGTCCCCAGTACACACGACCCGATTGCCGTCCCGCGCCCAGTCCCCTGGGTAAATAGTCAGTTTGTCTCGCAGTTTCCCGCGGTTCTCGCTTCCATCTAAGTATAGAAACGAGTTCATAAGTGGCGGGACGAAAAGGCGCCGCGTACGTCCCATAAATCTGCCTCCAGATCCCCCCCCCCCCCCCCCCAACACCGCGAACTCGAAATAATTATCCCCGGGGTCGTGTGTGTTACTGGCAGACACCGAGTCGATAGACCCTGGGGGAAGATAGGAGGGAGATGCACAGAGTCGTAAAAACCGTGAAAAAACACGGTTTCGCAAAAATTGAAATCACGACGGTGAAACCTTGACCTCCGGCGGAGGTGCACGTATCCGGAGCAGGCTGGTTTTTTCTGTTTCTTAAAATACATCGGCCGAACCAGTAGCAGAAGTGAACTTAATGGCTAAACCGTCGTGTGCTAACGCGCGATTTTCAGTCAGCGTTTTCATTATACCTTAAACTTTGTAGCTTAGAATCCTTTTAGGACTCTTGAGACTTTTTCACTTCAGATTAATTGGAGTTCTAGTCATCCTCGATGATGATCACTATCATTTTACTTGAATATCGATGCATACTATGTATACATTCCACCACGATGATAATTATTCGAATGTTCGATACTCACCTGGCAGAGATCGGTCTTACACGCACGGCCACCTTGATGTTCGCCATATTGTCATCCCGTGGACGACGACGATCGGCATCATCTGACCACCATCCTCGATTCTAGATCGGTAACCAGCACGCCAGATGTACCGGGGATAATTCACAGACGACAAACTCGTTTCGAGGGATCTGTTTAATTACATTTTTCTCGGTGAACGCCGTAACACGGAACGTGGATAATGCACACACACACACACACACACACGGAATCAGAGGGAACCGAGAGGAAGAGCTTGCGCCTCCGCGTGCACTGTGGCCGGGTGCACGTGTTGTACTGTTACGATGAAAATACCCTCGAGTCCCGTCCCAAGACCATTCGCTCATGGTTTTACCCCACCCAGAGAACACCGACGGACTCGTTACATTTCGCCTAAACCGTCTGCGAACGCTGCACCATTATCGTCGTTCGATGCTTTCACCGCGATCGGTTTATCTGAATATGACCTTTCGATTCTCTTCCAACTGTCTTTATCTTCCAGTTGCTCGTTGCTTTGAATCACTCGTTTCGGTGTTCCAATAGCAAATTCCGTCACGGTGTTAACAGAGGGAGAATATTGTTCAAGATCAGGTGTCGTTAGACCTGATCGTTTGAGGAAAATTGTGCAGGACTTTGGATAACAGGAATAGAGACTATTGGGATACTAATGTGACAGAGAACAACAGAATAATTGTCGAGACACCATATTCCATGTTTTGTAGATTCAAAGACAATCGAAACATCTAGACTAGGGGCTAGAGTTCGCATAAGTAGCCTTATGATACTGGAAACGATTCGATAAGATTTACTATGTAATTACCGTAAGTTGGGGCTACCGACTCAGTCAGGGTAACTTTGTTCTAGGTCAAAAAACGATCATATTCGCGTGAAGTGGTGTTTCAAGTAAAAATACCTTCAAAATTGAAAATGATTATTTTCTGACTGGGACAAGTTTTTACTCCTGACGGAGTCAAAATAACCCCAACGTACGACACCCTCGAAAAGCTCAACGTAAGGTCCTTCGCAGGGAGCAACGTAACCGATTCGAAGCGATTAAGTAGAAACTCTGTCGTTTCGTTGGGAAATCCAGTACCATCGAACGAAACGATCGGTCGCCATTGTCTCTAGTCACGATCAACCCCCCCGAAAATCTGTTCGCTCGTCGACGAACGGGGAGGGAGGATCAAACCGCGGTGTTCTCGGTCGGCACTTTGATCTACGGGGATATTTTTAGGCTAGTGGAACGGCTACAGCATATATTCTCTGCCAGTCGAGTCGTCAAGGGACATGGTCTACAATCGTGAAGCGTGTAGTGAGCGTCTATGTTCACCCGTAGCGGTCGTTATTCGTCTTTGGTGGCCGTCAGGACCGTGAAGTACGAGAACGACGTGCTGAGCACCTGCAAAGTACAGAGTAACTTAGCAAGAAAAGCTCTCGATCCTTTCAGGAGTACAATTCACGCCGTCGCGATGAGATACACTGATACAATTGAACCTGGGCCGAAGTACAGTCAATCATGGATTAGTGTTCGAAGGTTCCTCGGCCGCTGACAGGGAAAGGTCCCCAGGTGTCATTTTTTAAAGTTTATCATAGTTATAGAGATTGAAATTCCGAAGGTAATGATATTTGTTTCAGTCGCGTATGGCCATTAGTTTATTATATATTTAATGTTCAATGCCGAGGAGCCTTCTAACACTCATCGATGATTTACCGTAGCTCGAAGGGATTGAGAGGAATAGAATATGAATTCCACTCACCTTCGAAAAGCTCTGCAATGACATACTGTAAAATTTTGCCGCTGTTATCTTGCTAGGGACAGTCGATCGCATCATAATGATCATAAGACTCGAACCGTAACGGCTGCCGATCCAACCGCCATTGTACACGGACTCGCCCACAGCTTCGCTCTACATTATTACCGGTTACCGATTATTCAAAATGCAATCCTCGAGGATGATTCTGATAGACGCGAGTGATTAGTCAAACGATCCTGAATATCCCCAATCGGAGACACGTGGGCCAAGAAATCTAGAGAACTTCCCCCGTTCCGTTTCTATTTTCTACCCCTGATTACATCGGTCACTCGCAAGATTGGCCGGTTGGTAATGCAGTTTCTCGGACGTTTTGCCTTCTTTAAGTTTCGAAAACATTCTTGAATCTAATTTTAATTGCAACTCGTAGTGACTAATGCCTCTTACATAAAAGTGCCTCTTACATTAAATAATTTGGTGGTCGAAAGTCTACCTGAGACCGCGGTCAGTAGCTCTGTCGTCATTAATAAACAAGAAAATATAATACCCTTAGTATAAAAACAACAGCATATTAGCACAGACGAGATATAAGAATAGACCTAACGTCTTATGGGACCTTATGTCCCGCGAAAATCACGCTGATCAGGAATTACATTCGACACCGTGTTAACGCACAGCAAACACACACCCGTGACTGCATATAGCGATACATATATACATTATTGCCCTGGTTTCGCTAGTAAGGAATGGAATTCTGAAATGGTACGGGGGCTCCTGAGGCCCCCGAAGCATGGGACAGAAAATTACATTGCATGTTAGGTCTATCCTTCTATCTCGTCTGTGACATTAGTACCATTTTCAAGAAATGTAACTGGCTCCAAGCGCGAGATGTCTAATTAACAACGGACATACAACAACTTAACATCGATGATTTCAGATCGGATCAATCAAGCCCTCGATGAATTATCGATGCCAAGGGGCCAAGTTTTTATCGATTTACCTCCTCGATCAGCCCGTCCCCGCTGAAGCTGAACATGAACAGCTCGAGGATGGCGGAGTTCAAGAAGGTCGAATACTTCATCAAGCGTCCCTTGTCCTCCATCATCTGGAAATGTTAGTTTTTATCGACGAGGCCGATCGACTCGCTAGCATCGCATCTTTGGCGCGGCACGCACCGAGGTGATCTGGAATCCCGCGAAACAGAGGAGCCCGGTGCTAATGACGAATTGCCCAAGAGCCAAAACATTTATGATCCTCTCCAGCGCGTCCGCGTACCTGGAAACGAGTCGTTCCGCGTAGCCGAGCGCCCTCGCGATTAAACGATCGTCGTTAAGAAAAAAAAAAAAAAAAAAAAAAAAAAAAAACGATCGATGACTCGTCGTGATATCACAGAGCCTCGCGAAAACTTTCGGCGAACTACAGGATATTACAGTTCGAAGTGTTCGAAGTCAACTTGACGGAACAGATAGGTAAAGCTCACGCTATCGCCTGTTGGTGACGAATTACACAGTCCGTGATCACGGTAGCGGAATCACGATCCTCGCTGTTGATAGCCTCCAGTCGTTTTCGTAGAACCGCGAACTTGGCCGATCCGTGCATTATCACTATCAGATTGAAACTAGTCGCGCCGGCGATCATGCTGCCGCCGAAACCACCGGCCGACACGTTGAACAAATAAAGGCACTCGAACGTCGGCGACACCGTTTGATTGATGTAAAAGTAGCCACGGAACGGGAGAATTTTGTCCTTGCCTGCCACGTAGATCTGCGAAGGAAAAAGGATGAACGGTAATCGTCGGTGTACGTACAGACCGATACAGATTTTGTTAAAGACTATCGAATCATCCCTGGATGGATACTTATGAGACCGATTTTCATTGGGTATCTGAACATCTTCGAAGACCTAAATCCTCTAAATCGACATCTAGACGTTCACCTAGACTATTCGTTTAGAATATTCGCAAGGATGTGCACGTACTTCCAAAAGCGGGACGCACATGAACAACACAATCGTCACGGCGACAGTGCTGATAAAGTACTTGGCCAGCCGAAACGCGAACATCGTTTTGCCAGCTAAGATTGCCCTGTCCTCGTATGTGGACGTGGTCCAGTCATCTCGCATCGTGTTCACCACATAGAGCATATCCTTCTGATGGATCGTGTAGACCACCATCCGGACGACGCAGAGATAGAAGGCTGTGCAGATCAGGGCACACTCTGTCGCTTCGTCCAGGTCGTCTAGATTGTGAATCACGTCGGCTGTCACCGCGATCGACATGACTGTCACCTGAAAGCTTAACTTTTACACGGTCTATCTGTCCACTTGTTGTCAAAAATCTCTACTAAATAAATTCAATTAAATCGCGGGTGTAGTAGGAATAGCACGGTTCACATTTGAAAAACTTGTACAGTTTTGTCGTCTTACTAGGAAAAACATGCAGAACTGGTGAAATCTTCTAAAGAGTACCGTTGCCGTGCCACTCTTCTCAGCTATCGGCCAGATGGATATTATCCTCCCAGTGATCATTATGGGCTTGATGAGTGCGTCGTATTCCCGGCGACCGTACAGTTGAAAATCCATTATTTGGTTTTCGTTCGTTTATCAGGCTGCGCTTGTTATCGAGACGGTGTCACCGTCGAGGAACGTTCTACCTTCGACTAGAACGATCGTGGCCATACTCCACGGAACGCAGACAAATATCTCGTCGAAACCGTTGAATGGCACATCGATCGACGACGAACACTTATTGTTTCATAGTGGGCGGATAACGACAGTCGGTGATCCAAAGTTCGCGATCGAAAAGTGTTACCTTCCATTCGACGATCAACTAAAGAGGACGGTCGTGACAACTTAAAGTACCCGCAATTCGACCTGTCCTTTGGGCAAATGTGCGTGCACAGCTGTACATTTGCATCGCCAAGTGTGCGATTGTACATTCGCATCCCTAAGTGATTTACGAAAATTGTTACGGGAGGTTCCCGCAATCGACTTCTTCCTCTTCCTTGTATTTTTTTCCCCACTTCCAGAATTACATATAATTTAGCGGAAAAGTTATTGCTCCTGCACGTACGTTTGTGTGAACGAAACGAGAAATGATATCTACGTGGGCTACAGTAAATGAATTTAATAACAGGAAGTTGATCGAACTGTTTAACATCATTATTGTATCGTATAAATATTGTAGAGTAAATGTTTGAATGGAAAATTAAATATACAATACGAGCGAGACAGAGCGTTTATACAGATTCAACGGCCGCGAACGTGTACAAATATATTGTAAACTCGTATATATATATATATATATATATATATATATTAGTATAGGATTGTACAATATTTACACAGTTATATTTACGACAATTCGATGAAATGAAGCTTATATTACCTGACGTATGTTTATTGGAATATACATATAAATTATAATGATTCCGGCCAACTATTTTCCGGTGTAATTAAACGCCCAAAATGATCGTCGTCGGTCTCAAATTATTCCTGACGACTTAATGCGTAAACCCAATACTGCAGAACACCAGAATTAGTACAATTGTTTATAGTTTATGCTACTAGTAACGTTGACCCCTTATGGAGTGGCAACCCTAAGGACAACAGGTTTGGATTGACAGTGTATCCCGACATGCATACCCCGTTTAGTTCACTTTGGACAGCTGTTACACCGTTATACGGATAGCTTTCGTTTAGATAAAGCACTCGATTTGTAACTGAAATAACGTAGATTAATCCCCTGCCATTGAAAATAATAATAAACGACCAGAACACTGTCAAAATCGCATTTAATTGCGGAATACTACTATTCTTTCGACCGGTGGCGCCACCCGTGACAATTCGCTCAAACTGCTAACCAAATTATATCGACAGGTGAGTGAAAATTTCTAGTGATGGAAAAATGCAAATATCTCAGTACTTAAGCACTTAAAATGAACGTCATTAGTCTCAAATTGTCCCTCAGGACTTAATGCATGGACCCGAGAGTGCAGATCCCCTGAATTAGTAAAATTAATTATGTCTGTATTACCGTAGCCCCTTATGGAGCGGCAACCCTAATTGCAAAAGATTTCGATCGCATTTACACCGCTAAACGGGCATGATTCTTCTTCGTTTTGCATTAGATACAACGTTTAAAGAACGTAGATTACTATTCTCTAACGGCTGGAAACCAGTTATCGCAAGAACATTGTTAAAATCGCATTTGTTTGCAACGGTTGACAGTGTATCTCGCCATGCGTACCCCGTTTAGGTCACGTTAAATAGCTCTTCGAACGTTCTATGGACAAGTTACGTCTTGATCAAGCATTCAGTTTGAAGCTGAAAGAACGTAGATTAATCTCCTGTCATTGAAAATAACAATAAACGACCAGAACACTGTAAAAATCGCATTTAATCGCGGAGTACCACTATTTTTTCGACTGGTGGCGCCACCCGTGGCTAATCGCTGAGACTGGTACCCATATAATTGGCTAGTAGTTTCAGCGATTCGCCACGGATGGCGCC